TAACAAGAACTCTATCAATGTCTGCCGAGGAGAAAAACATATCCCAGTCTTGGTAACGAATAAAGGACAGCGTTATTCCCCACTTAGCCTTTGAAAAGTCCTTGACTTTTACTGTCCGGAGAAGGCATTTAGATGACCCACTTGCTGCCAGGCTAACGGTAGAAATGATCGTGTTGTGGTCGCTACCAGGGAATAAAGGCCCAGCTGGTGTGCTGACAGAAAGAATGTTGCATGTGAAAATAAGATCCAGGATGTCGGATTTACGTGTGGGGTGATTAACATTTTGTGTCCATCCATAGAATTCAACCGTATTTATAAAACGATCAGGGTATGTAGGAACATTTAGGCTATTTCAGTGGATACCAGGCATGTTAAAGTCGCCAGCTATAACTTTATAGTCAAAATGTAGAGAAGAGACGTGCTCGAAAATTTCACATAAATGGTTCGTTGTGATAGTATCAGAACTGGGCGGGCGGTATTTAGATCCCAACAAAAGCCTTGTATTTAAGTTAGTGTTCAGTGTAACCCATACTGCATCTATCAGTGGGCAACCCGGATCATCACCTTCTACAGCGTGGAATTTGTTGTTAATAAAAATGAGACAGCCACATCCTTCTTCTCTGCCATTTCTAAAGTTTGCATATCCTGGAGATTTTAACAGTCTGTCATTGAAGTCAGATGGTTACCAGGTGTCGGTAACTAACAAACTGAGGGCATGCAAAGTGAAAGCAAGGAGTGGAGGTACGGAACTTGATTGCAGATAGAACGAGCGTTTATGAGGAAAAGAGTAAATGATCTTTCATCAGTGGTAACGGCTGAGGCAAAATGAAGGAGATAATGGTGTGGTTTTGCCAGGGTTAAATGAAAATTAGATGATAGTCTGACCCGTACATCGAGTGTTCGGTGTGTAAGGCCTTCATCATTTTCATTGAGGCTCTGCGAAAAGAAGAGTGTGTCTGTGGCTGATTGTACACTTCACGAGCCCATCACGGAAAGTGGGATATCTTCGGTGTCTGAAGAGGACAGTTTTGAGGGTAAAGAAACACACTGCAGCACCTCCCCCTTTAGAGCTCTGATATGACAGGGCCAGGAGGATATTACAGAATTTATTTAGTTAGGGATATAAGGTCCCTTGTCACCAACACGAGGCTCAATAAGATACACTTGTCTTGTCGATTCCACAGCAGAAGACATAACTAACTTTTCAGACCACTCTGTGTTAAACCCTCAGTTATCTGGTTTGCCATCAATGTTGAAATGAGTCGGCAGACACAGCTGATAAGACTTTAGTCACTGGAAGAGTATCCAGCTCCAAAAAATGAATTCATCTACTGGGAGAAGTAGCGCGAGCAGCTAAAACACTATATGAAGTAACGGGAAAACAGATCTCAATGAAAACACAAGGCAAACCTCTTGAGCGGCCAGTTCCTAAATCATGTCTTAACTTGCCTGGAAGCTTTTGACTAAGACTGCCAGAGAATAACTGAGATAAGTCAAGAAGTGGTTTTTCTGACGCGACCCTCACAGTCTGAGTAAATTTTAATATATGGAATACAGTGAAAAAGAAAAAACCGTCAAAAAAACCTAGTGCCTGTTATGCTTGATGTGTGCAGAAATGGACATAAACTTTATAAAGGTGGCATTTCGGACAGACTCAAAAACTGTCTTGTATTACACTCAGTACAGATAAGCAACCTAAGGCCCTTGTGGCTAGCAGAGTTTCGTCAGCTTATAGCCTGACCCATGAGTATCGGTGTATTTGTGTTCCACCGGATGAAGATGTAGCAGAATCCATGTGCCGATGGAATAGTCATCAAACAAAAATCCCTTAATAATATATGGACTACGGTCGGTTGCAGAAACTCATCTGAAATGGAATACCTCACAGTGTTACATCCGAACATAACGTATGAGTCAATTATTAGAATCTGATTTGATGCTGAGGGCCAAGCGGGTCCTACGTGAGTTCTAGGAACTTTTAGAGAAGGATTGGGCACTACATAGTACAGAAGTAGAAGGGGTGGCCGGAAAATGTTGGCGTTGTTGGAGCAAGAAAGTTTAGCCAGAATGTTGGTTAGTTACATCAGTGTCAGCGGCTAAAATTGAGGGGGACGACGACAACTTCTCTCCAATGTAACTGAGAAAAGACAATGGGTAAGTGTGGAAAAGCTACATCTACATTTACACATCTAATATTGGGGGATGTACAGCTGGAGGTAGGTGGAATCTAATCACATGCCCTTTTATTATTGCATTAGTAAAGTTCACCAGCAGAAGCGGATTTCTCAAACAAATGGAAACAAAAGGATGATGATGCGACCGTCAATATATCTTCGTAGTTTAAGAGTCCTTTGCGTTATCGAATTTTCCTACCTAGTAGATTTGCGGGTCTACTGTCTTAATCACTATTCACGACGACAACCACCATGACACGATACCCCCAACATGTTGAGGAAGAAAGAGAAAACAGTATGCTCACAGATGGGCTTTTACACTCCTGAATCAACAGCTAAAAGGCATATATGAGTTTTAATTGACCTTTGAGAGGCACTGACTTCACTGGTAAGTCAAAAAGTCAGCAGCCAATAGGGTTGGGCTGTAATATGGAGGGAAACACAAACACCACGTCATTGTAAATAAAGATAGCAGTTTAGTGCTTTAGACAAATTAAGTGTACATAACAGTTTTATTATGTGGAGGCACATACAGACATTTTAATCCATTATTTTCCATTTTGGACATACAGGCACAACCCGAAAAATTTAGTCTCTTGAGGCAGTCAACACGATACATGTAAAGTCATGAACGCGATTAAGTTTAACCTGTGAAATGGAGCACACTTTTTAAAACGGTGTGACACATTTATCTAAGCCTATAACATAAATATGAAGGTGCTCTGAGAACTTCGCTGTCCATGTGGAACATGTTTTTCTGTCTTGCCACAAGCTCCTGTTGCCGTTACGGCTCCGGTTGCCTCCTCGAGTGCTAGCGGGTTTTCAGTCGGTTGAGTGCCATGTGAGGCTTTTGGGTCAGGACTGATGGGATCGTCTTCTACTCACCCCGATTCCAGATGACTGATGGTACAGCAGTCTCCGTAAATGTCTTTGTATAAAAGGAAGGTGAAATCGGTTATGATTTCCATAACCAGGAACAACTTCCCATTTGTGTCGGTGATTCCACTTGATAGACAGTTTAGTGGTACCATCTAACATTTGTCGTCGGCGGACATCTACACTTAGACCCCTGCATTTGATAGGCATTGTAACATCAGCAAGAAAGGAAATTCACTGAATAGGTTTGAGTAAACATATAAATAGACTAATTGCTACAACTAAACCAAATTTGAAGAACTTTGTTACAGCCAGTGCACGAATAACGCTCTGAAGAAACGAACTCGCATTCCCACACCAAAATCCAAAAAAAACCGAATGGTTCTGAACAGAATTACATTGGTGACAGAAGGTTGAAGAACTGAAGGATTATTGTTCTATTGAAAAGAATGTGTCTGACAAACGTGGTACAAACCTTCAAATATTAGGTTACCCGGCAGCCAAACACCAAGAACATTATGGGTGAACCCAAAATGGCTTGCGGTTAACAAAAATTCACATTCAGACAAAAAATGTACAGTAGTTTAGTGAGCCAAAAACGGCCTGATTAGCACTAGTTGCAAATGGTATATAAAGCACAAATTTTATGTTTAAGGGTGCATATTAGACGGAACACTCACTTCCCCAGAAAATTGCAACTAGTTTTCCAATTGCAGTCTGCAAGGTGTTCCTTCCAGTGATTTGTCTCTGAAGCAAGGAGGACGATGACTTGTGCATCAGGGTCAACAAGGCGCCACGTTTTACTAACGACACACCAGATGTGCAGCAAACTGCTAACGTCACAGGCTATGGTCGCCGCTAAGGCGTCTTCAACAAAACTGCAGAGTTTTCGGCAACGGTTAGCTTCCTGGATGCAGGTATCACGATGCTAACACTAGGGTGGGCTTTTGTTTATAAAAGGCCATGTTGAGAGGGGTTCCTCCGTCCCCTGGAAAGTCTGCGAGAGCCGGCTGACCTGGGAATTTTTTTAGAAGAGTTAAATAACACTGCCGATTCGTAGTCGGTACTCGGAGGTCGAGAACCGATCGAACAAACTTCAGAAATTGCCGTCGCAACATTTCCAGATTATGGTCTGTTGATGCAGCTGAACCATCGATGGAGACCTCTTGAAGTGTTAGGAGCACAGTCTGTGCAGATTGGCAGTTTACCCAGAAACAACTCTGCAAACAGCGCACTATCGAATTTGCATTGGCCTATGACTTCACGTATTCGTGAAACCATGTGTACAGCCAAACTCTCTCCTAACTCTATATTGTGCATGGGTTAGTTGAGACGTCGGCTACTTAAGAGACCTTTCCCCTTTAGTACTGTTTCTTAAACATCTCATAGGGGATACTAACCTCCAGGGTGATCATGCTGGTGGTAGTGCACTAGTGTAATTGCCGCAACGTAGCATGTATAACAGCTAGGAGTTGTGAATGTGGATCAGTAACTCCAAGCATATGGAAACCATGTTTTTACATTGTCTGGACAAAAGAACACGAGCCAGACGAGAAATTTAGTAGGCTGAAGGTTTATGGTGCTTATGTTGTTATGAATACAGAGGGGGATTAATATAGACAAGTACGTAAGATACGGCATATGTAAGTGCAGTCGCACAGCTTCCAACTCCCAAAGCGCTTATTCCACTTAGACGAGACAACCATCCAGAGGTTAAGACAACAAACCAATCATCCGAAATGAGAAATATATTTCGGTATCAGAAATGTAGAGCAGAAATGACTGCTTAGCCAGCTATGGTTTGCTATGGTCTCCCAATGGCTTCTACTTTCAGAAATCGAGCTGACTGGAACAATACTACCATTACTTTCTAAGGGATTGTTGTGTGCGGGTTATCAATCACAAGTTGTAAACTGATACTTAATATTGATAATTTACCAATCCTGATTATTCTAAACGTGTCACTGTACGTGACCTAGAACGTTGGAAATTGGCTCACACGTGTCAACATTCTAAGCACTGCGTCAACCCGCGATTTTCGGGTTGGTGAGAAATGTTTGGTTTGGCTGTGAAAAGATTGTCTTCAGTTTCAACTAAGGGCCGTACTGGACTTGTGACATTCTGCATTTTGCTTCTGGCATGGATTGTTGGGTTCAGCATACGTCTCTTTTCAGTAATACGTTTTGAAAGTGTCATCCATGAGTTTGATCCATGGTTCAACTACCGGGCGACAAAACAAATGGTTGAGAATAGTTTCAAGAGCTTTTACAACTGGTTCGATAGCACTGCTTGGTATCCTTTAGGAAGGATTGTCGGAGGGACTGTTTATCCTGGTTTAATGATAACTTCAGGTTTGTGATGATTTGCATTTACCTTACTTTTGTATTTCTTTAAGGATTCATACATTATGTGTGCCATCTCCTGAGTTTCCCGGTTCATATTCGTGAAGTTTGTGTGTTTCTTGCGCCTATCTTCAGTGGAATGACTGCTGTGGCCACCTATTTTTTCACAAAAGAAATATGGAATGAAGGAGCAGGATTGTTTGCAGCTTGTTTTATTGCTATAGGTAATGTTGGTTAAGTATGATTTATTTTATTTCTAGCACCTGGTTATATAAGTCGTTCAACGGCTGGAAGTTATGATAACGAAGGAATCGCTATCTTTGCGCTTATGTTTACATATTATTTATGGATTAAAGCTGTGAAAACAGGAAAAGTCTCTTGGGCGGCATTTTGTGCAATTTCCTACTTCTACATGGTTTCTGCTTGGGGTGGTTATGTCTTTATCATAAATCTTATCCCATTGCACATCTTTGTATTACTTATTATGCAACGTTATAGTGCTAAGTTGTATGTAGCTTATACAACATTTTTTGTCTTGGGATTGTTAATGTCAATGCAAATACCATTCGTTGGTTTTCAACCTTTGCGTACAAGTGAACATATGGCATCAGTTGGAGTATTTGCTCTTCTTCAGGTAAGCTGGTTTTGTTTCTTTTAAAAGGAATGTAATATATCATATTCTCTATTGTCTACTATTTGAATGTTAAAACTACCTTTGAGGGAGTCACATATCACAACTTGATGCAATTCTGTATTGATCTCCATTACTGTCCTTCTACAGTGTGATAAGTGGATATCATGAACAAAGGACTGAAGGTGTAGGGCTTTTAATTCATCGCTTATCTTAGACTTCCAAGAAAGTAGGCAGTTTGTTGTCTATAAAACATCACTCATAGGTTTCGACACCATCTTGCCATTATAATTTCAGGATACTATAGTATCCTGAACAAAGAATGCAAATCCAGATGGAGTCTTATATCCACATAATATTAGTCAACTTTCTAGTAGTTTTATTCACTGCATGCGAAAGAGCTATAATGTTTCTAGAGAAGCAGCCTCTTTCAAGTTTTTACTGACTACTTTATTGTGATTATAGTCTTTGTTACATTAATTAACCTAACAGGCACGTACAATTCAGTTGTAACTGGTTTTTGTGGTTTGGTTCCGTATTAGTAACTTACTGCCGGCTACGGACCACCGTAGGTGGGGTAAGTCGGGATGTAAAATTTCTGGCGTTGACCTTTGCTAACCCCCTCTCTCCACAGTGGAGAGACAGCATAGCTGGCATGCTGTTACATCCCTGTTCCCCAGCATAGTGTAAAAAATTTTTCACTATACCGGTAACGGCTTTTAGTTTAATCGCTATCCTAACAATCTTTTTGGTATGTTAGGACCTGCAGGAACATCAGTTCCAGTCGGTGTAGCTTGTTGGGGATCATTGCGATATACAAGACTGACCACCACGTCAATGCGGCAGCTATCAGTCGTAACTACGAGCAGTGTTCATATTTCCCATGGTGTAAGTACTGTCATACAAAACAAAAATGGCGTGATCCTTCTAAATTTAGGATATCGACCAGTCAAAGTAATCTGTGTTTTTTAGATAACGGACATTTGAAACTATGGTGTTATTTGCTCACTATCAGGTTAGTGTATCTTGATAACAAGGACACTGTTGTGTGAGATGACGAATTCTAATCAGCTATTTCTCTTCAAGTGGTCTGTTGGTTGAAGCGTGTAATCTAGCTTGTTATCACCTCTCAAATCTAATCACTTATTTCCGTTTTCTAGTTCGTGTATCCTTGTGAGTAGGAGTTCACAAAACTGTTATAATTTTTAAGACAATTTTATAAGTTTATGGTTTTGAAATTAGTCTTAGTAATCCGTGGGTATTCACACGTCTAAATTATGGTATCGTATTTATGCTAAGCTGTATGTTTTGCGACAGGTATATTTGGTGAAACGTAACACCTTTATCGCAGGTATACTGCAGTATTACTTTATTTGTGTAGCTGATTTCATGCGAATATTTAGCATCACGTATATTATTTCAATTTTCAGGTTGTTGCTTTCTTCAAATACTTACAAAGTCGTGTTCCTAGTAATACACTAAGACAACTTTTCACATTTGGAGCTATTTTCTTTGCTGGAATTATCTTCCTTGCTGTAGTTGGACTTACCTATGCTGGTGTTATTGCACCATGGAGTGGAAGGTATTTATATGCATTCTTTTAAATGCATTACTATTGTTATATGTACTTCTATTGAAATGTTAGTCTATGGAATGCTGCTGTTGGATAACTGAGCGTGGTAGTATTTGAGTAATTTCTTGTGTTATGTTATGGCTTGCTTTACAATACGTGATTTGGTGGTAGTGTTATTTTCTCGTTGATGAGTCTAGCTGTTTAGGAAAAGGCTGCATTTTAGTGTCCTACTGTCCCTTGTCTTTTATCAACCTACAACACGAAAACTGATTGCATCAATACGATTAAGTATATGGCGCTTGAATGTTACGCCTAAACGCTTTCCAGAATACATTAGGATATTCATTTCTATTAATACAACTTTCAAAAAAGTTAATCTCAGATTTCACTAACGCAAGTTTGACAGAATACCGTAGGAACCCATTAAGTTCCTTCATCGTCATTGGGTCTTTGCAATTTTTTAATAATTTAATAATTCCCATTGTATCATTAAGAACACAATATTCAGCGAAGAGACTCTTTTCAACGAAGTTATTATCAAGCTGCACAATCGTATATATATGGTTGTTATATGTCCGAATTCCAAAACATTAAAGCGCCATACGCTTAATCGTATTGATGCAATCACTTCTCGTGTTGTAGAGCTAAACAGGAACATATCTTTGAGAGGTCACGTTCTGTTTGAACTTTCAGCTGACGAACACCGACAATTCGAGGAATACATTTCCCTTGTCATCGAAAAACAGCCCCAGTCTGCTAATCTCAAGCATCTTGACAGCCTCAAGCAGGTAGTAGCAGAAAAGAGGTTTCCGACTGATCCCAATAAATGTGTATTTAATTATTTTATCAATCTATTGGTAAATTAAACCTATCAATTGTGAGATTTGCAATCTCAGCATTTATTGAAAAACATTTCTATGATTAGCTTATAAGCGTAGAACTTAGCGAACAAAAAGTTCATTGGTTCAACTTGTCACATATTGGGAAAACTCTGAAAAGTATAGAAAAAAAGTGTAATGAAACTACAATGGATGAAGATGTACACGGGAGAAGGAATAAACAATTGTAGATTGATGAAAACTGTTTACAATCTGGAAGATACATTTACAGACTTTTTTTGAACGATTTTAAGCCATATTAATATATGTGTAAAACTTGGGCACTGTGGTAGTAAGTAATTCCATATTAGTTTGTTTATTAGATATATCACACAGTCAGTGAAACAGTATTATTTACTGGATGACAAGGTTTCGAACAAAATTTATTACCGTTTATAATCATATCAGTTATAATCACACGACTTCGAAACTTGAGTTTTATAGTTTTCTTTCTTCTCTCCTATTTGTCGTCGCTTCTTGAGGTTAGGAAGGTTATACCACCTTATGTGGTTTTATTCACCAGTTTTTGACTTCATAGACTTGTAAGGTACTGGTCTGTCTGTCTGTTTTCGACATAGAACTTTGCACATATGTGCGGCAGTTCAAGTCGCCACACTCCATGTAGCACACAAAGCAAGAGAAGAAAGTAGGAGAAATGCATATTAGAGACAGTAAACAGAAGTGTGAGACAAAGGAATAGTAATAACGAAGAACAAAACAGTTTCATTGGAAATCATAAGTCACAAGGGAGTGGATGCATCTGCGCCATTGAGAACGATTTTGAGCCATGTCACCAATTGTTTCCAACCATTGGAACTGGTAGGTAGGTACTGGTAGTGCCGTTGATAAGCTGTACTTAATAGTTAATAATTTGCTTTATTCCAAAACAGTACTAATGTTACAGTGTGGAATTTTCAGCATTTGGTACAATATTGCATCTAATTTTCTCGAATAACATTAAAAGCAATTGTAAAGATAATATTACAGGATTGTTAATGCCAGTTCTTATTTGGTATTTGTAGTGACGGTGAAGTCATATATATATATATATATATATATATACAAAAAATTGTAAATAATAATGTCAGTAGCTAAGATTGTCAGTTTAATTGAGATAGCTTCACCATAGATTGCAAATAAGAGATAATATAAGGACCGATTATTTTGCTAACAACATAGTAGTTCATAGGTTTCACGCTTTACACTGTCTCTGTCGCATAGAACACAGGCTGGCCAAATATGGTATCGTTGAGTTCCTATACTTGGTAATACGAGCATATAATCTTTTGTACTGATTTCTACTTCTACCAGATGAGATACAGCAAGGAGAGAGTTGAGAATTGGGAGGGGTGTTGAAGGTCAGACCATGTAGATTTAGACCACTTCTCGCATGAGTTTAGATATCTATCAACTGATATAGTGACAAGTTGACCAAAGTTGCACATCACTTGCCCTACTGACAACCTTTAGTACCCTTCTCAAAATGACATATTCCTTTTTCAGTAGACTAGGAAAGATTAAGGTCAGGGGAGAAGTAAAGTACAATAGGTAAGATGGAAGAGTTAACAAATTGTAAAAGCAGAGGTTGAGTGATTCCAGATGTATTATTAGCTTCGACGGAACATTTACCCTCCCTTAACGTAATTTCCCTATGTACCCAATAATTCAATAATCTACCTAACCTGTAAGTATACTGACGACCAGACGCAAGTTAAAAAGACTTAATTATTCAGGAAATGTGCTCTGATGCACCGTATATATTTAAGTTAAATAAACGGTAAAGATAATCCAAAGAAAAAGATCTTGAACCTATCTAACGGATATGGCTTTACTACAAACTCAAGGAATGTGTGCGTGTTGAACAGCACAACGGAAAAGCGCAAAATAGCGTTAGAGCCAGTTCGTATATGTACACATTAAAACAAAGTCTTTAAACATTGGAATTCGCCCTTCAGATTTATACCGTGTTTTCTTCTAACCACCCATAACTGTTTTACAGGCTAGTCTTATATCACCTGACATTGCTTGTCGAGGAAGGTTGTGACTCGGCATGTGTAGCATATCTCCTAGTCGTGTTACTCAAGCCTTCACAACCTTATCGATCAACAATTGCATGCATGCATGTCTGTGAGACCTGGCCATTGAGAGTAGGAGACATGAAAAGACTAGCTGTCTTTGATCATAGGTGCCTGCGTTCTATCTCCCGTGTTAGGTGGTATAATAGGGTGAGCAATATTGAGGTGAGGCATCGGTCGAGTGCTAGGTAAGTGGGAGGAGAAATCAATCAAAGAGGCTGTGAAGCTACATCTACTGAGATGGTTAGGACATGTGTTACGTATGCCTAGTCATCGCCTTCCTCGACGGGCGATGTTAGCTGACATAGGGTCAGGCTGGAAAAGAGCTAGTGGTGGTCAAACCAAAACATGGCATCAGTCAATGAAATCCACAACAGTTAGTTTAAGCCAGCCACGTAGGAAGGTGTAGACTTCCTGGTTGGGGTCCTCGGACGGTAAACACCAATGGCTGAGACAATCGGTGATATGGCTCAAAATCGTTCTCAATGGCTGGTGCAGATGCATCCACTCCTTGTGACTTATAATACCCAATGAAACTATATTGTTCTTCGTTATTACTATTCCTTTTTTCTCATATCCCTGTTTACTGTCTCTATTTTGCATTTCTTCTCTTGCTTTGTGTGCTACATGGAGTGTGGCGACTTGAACTGCTGCACATCGGTGCAAAGTTCTATGTTGAAACCAGCCAGCCAGTCAGTCAGGGGACATTTTCTGCACCCTGGTTGCCAATATTTATACCATAGATGTATTTCTACTCTTTGTAACAATAAGAAGTTTGAAGCACTTTTATTTCCTGTCGATAAAATGCTGTACATTGTCATTGAAAACTTAACAAAATTATCTTCAATTTTGCATTGTATTGTAGGTTTTATTCATTGTGGGATACGGGTTATGCAAAAATTCACATTCCAATTATTACATCAGTTTCTGAGCATCAACCTACCTCATGGGCTGCCTTCTTCTTCGATTTGCACGTGTTAGTCGCAACATTTCCAGCCGGTGTACGACTATGCTTTAAAGATTTAAACGATGAACGTGTTTTTGTCATTCTGTATGCAATATTTGCATCGTATTTTGCTGGTGTAATGGTTCGGCTAATGCTTACACTGACACCGATTGTCTGTGTATTCTCTGCTATCGCTTTCTCACGTGTATTCGAGCTGTTTTTGGATGAAAATAATTTGGAGAATAGCGGTAGTAGTAGTAGTAGTGGTAGTAATAATGCGGCAAATAATCATACAAGTGGTGATGCACAGAATTCTACAGGGGATAAACGTTTGTACGATAAACCAAGCAAAGGAAATAAAAAGGTAATTTGAACTTTTGTTTTTTTTGGATAAATTAGTATAAGTTTTCTTTAAACTGCGAGATATTACTGTAAGGAAAAAGTAGATATACGGTAACATATATATACATATATATATACATATATATATATATACATATATATATATATATATATATACCAGGAATACCACCAACAACACTCACAGAACTGCCTGCCAGCAGAATTCCTGAATGCGATCAAGCTATTGAGAGTCAGTCGGGAAGGCAGCAGAGCCAGACGGAATTCCCCCCTCCCCCGGGAAGCACTGAAAATGGACCCAGAGACTGCGGCAAATGTGTGCTCACGCTAATATTATTGCGAAAGGTTTGAAAGGAAGGAAGGAGAAGTGTCTACCGATTGGAAGAAAGTGGCTTGCTGGCTACCTAGTCAAGCTACCAAAGAAAGGTGACTTATGCCTTACAATGCAAGAACTGACTGGTGTGGAATAATGCTCATGTCCACGCCAAGTAAAATACTAAGTCGCATCATCCTGGAGAGAATAAAGGATGCACTGAATGCAGAACTCCGCCAGCTCACCGGAAAAAGCTGGATTCAGGAAAGGCAAATCATGTGCTGATCAAATTGCAACTCTGGGCATCGTCATTACAAAACAAAGCATGGAGTGGCAGTTAAACCTGTACCTCAAGAATCTCATCAAATTCGAAAAGGTCTTTGACAGGCAGCGTTAACTGTGAAGTAATTCGGAAACTACTTCAACAATACGGAGTGCAATGCCCAAATCTTTATCAGCCTCATTCAACAGCTAGCTATATGACAGTGCCTGCCATGTGTCAGGTGATTCACAACGGAAAACTCAGTGAGGCGTTGGAAGTGGAGACAGGAGTAAATAAGACAAGGCTGCCTGCCAGTTATCACCGGTGATATTCTCAATTGTAGTGGACTGGATCATGCATCAGACTGTGCACATGGAGTGAGTGAGAAGACAAGAATATGCTGTACTAACAGATAAGAAGACTAGAAGACCTGAATTGTCACGCATGGATGATTTATGTTTAATGTCACACACAAACTCAAAGACTTACAGACAGGCAGGTGAAAACCAACAAACTGGCTAAAAAAGGAGTGCAACGAAGATAAGACTGACTCCAGGTGAATATAGAGAAGACAGAGGCGATGAAAATAACTAACCAACCAACAAAGAACAATAACGACCAGCATCAATCACCATCAACGCGAGGGAGAGATTTGAAACAGGTCGCTTCCTGCTTTCACTTATCTGGTTTGGAAGCCAGCATGGTTTCAACCACAGGCAGGCAGACAGTCGGACAGAACGGATGAAGATGTTGAAACCAGTCAGCCAGAATCGCAAAGGCAAGATTGCAACGCCTTCATCAACCTGAAACCAGTTTGGAAATCTTCTGTTTCACTCACTCAGCCAGTTAGCATGAAGAACAAGATTGGTTCAGATTATATTCAACACAAATGTTAAGTCAGTGAGTTATTCTTCACGGGTGAGAAACTTGTACTGCACGTGAGTCACGAAAAGGATTTCCAACAGGCTGGTGCAGACTTTTATCAACAACTGCCAGCTTTCCCGGCTCCACCTTGGAGATCAAATGGCTAGCCACCTGGCAGGCTAACCAGAAAGAATCAGCAACAAGAAACTTTGACGATGAACAAACCAAGGAAGAGCCGATTGCTCAACAAATATGTAGGAGAAAATGGAGATGGACTGATCGGGCATAGCCACTGAGGAGGCGGTCGAATGACATCGCGCTCATGCAGGCCATGGCTCGAGTGGAATGTGAATGGGAAGTGATGAGTGGGTGGTCAGTGGGACTGTGTCCTGGTGGAGATTGCAAGTGAGAGATTGTGGTCAATCGTGATCCCAGCTGAAGAGGACAGCAGAGAATAGAAGAAAGTGGAAATGTGTTGTTGAAGCCCTATGTTCCATTCGGAACCCAAGGTTACCGACGGTCACTTAAAAATGCTTCAGAAAACTTTAATTTTACAGAGTAGTTGTGGATGACAAGAATATGCAACACAACCACCACTTACCTCTATTCTGATCTTTTCTAGCTCAGTGGTGTAAGCACTCGACTTTCCACCGGTGGGTTCAGGGTTCGAATCACACCCAAGTCAGCCTTCACTCAGAAAGTGTGGCTCATAGTCTGGAACATGAAAGATATGAATTCAAACAATAAAAACACGTACCACACTCAACTGCATAACTTCAACTACTAACACAGGCCATTGTAAATATCAGTCTTGCACAACAGTTCTCAATGTTTTGAATTTCATTACTAAACTTGTCACTTCTACTAATTGTAATCTACTGCGATATAACCGAACAGCATACAGTAGTAAATCAGTTTTACTTTGACTTACATTTCAAAGTGGGATATTCTTGACCAGTATGTTCAATATATTTAATTGGTTGGAAGATTTCATCATGAGCTGGCATCAGTTAGAGAACCATTGGAAAACCAGGAGTACTGGACAACCAGCTGTTTCGTCAGCCTAGTTTGGGACTGACTCTTCAGCAGTACGCATCCCAGCACTGCCGGGGTTCGAACCCAGGAACTTCAGGTTACAAGGCGAGCGAGCTGGCTCGTAGACCATTAAGCCGCTGAGACCCGTCAATCCAATGGCCTGGGTTCGAACCCTGGCAGTTGGGTGTGTGGGTGCTTCTGAAGAGTCAGTCTCAAACTAGGCTGACAAAACAGCTGGTTGTCTAGTACTCCAGTGCTGATTTTCCAGTGGTTCTCTGACTGGTGTCAGCTCATGATGAAATCCACCAACCAATCAAACAAAATCCCTACAAAACCAATACTTGACAATGTATTTAAATCTATGCTTAATATTTATACCTTATTTTCCTCTTTTCTTAGCAGAATTCTGTCGATCAAGACACTTCATCAAGTACAACTGCAACCAATCGATCATCCCAACAGTCACCACCAGCAAATGGCAACAATCTACGTGCAGTTGCCTATGTGTTAATTATATTCATTTTGTACCTGTTTGTTTCACATTGTGTCTGGGTATCATCTAATGCTTATTCAAGTCCGTCTATTGTGCTAGCTTCATATGGTAAAGATGGATCTCGGTATATATTGGATGATTTCCGGTAGGTTGTTCTGCTACTACGCTTACTATTACTTACACATTTGTATTTACCGCATTCCTTTCACGTTTTTATTATTCCTTCACGTTCCCAGTGGTGGAACATAGGGGCGGCTTCAAGCTAGAGGCTTGAAGTTTCTGTAGCAGTAGTGGGGTTGCTAGCCGCCTCATGCCCAACCTCTCCTCTTTACCAGCATTTTTTATTTCTGCCTTAGCTAGGTGAAGGAGTGCGTCCAGTGGCCGGGGATCGAACCGCGGACCATGTGCATGGTTGGCGAGCAGCGTCCTAACCACTGTGCCACCGACGCACAATTCCTATCACATATGGAACTTTTATCAATCATGTTGCTTAGTCACAGTAGTGTAGTTAATTTCTTGAAGTAATATGGTAGTTGGATGGAGGATTTCATCACTGAGCTGACACATCAGTTAGAGAGAACCATTGGAAAACCAGCTGTTTCGTTAGCCTAGTTTGGGTATATTTCGATATTTCCCAGTGTAACAACGTTGACAACACAATTTTCATCGAGAAGATTCTTCTCAGCGAATTTATTATCAAGCTGTACAGTCAATCTGTAAATATATACGAATTCTTTAACAACTCCATCCCGTAGATTCCATATTAGTTTGTTTATTAGATGTATCACACAGTGAAGAAACAGTATTATTTACTGGATGACAAGGTTTCGAACAAAATTTATTATTGTTCATAATCATTCATCAATTATAATCACACGACTTCGAAACTTGAGTTTTATAGTTTTCTTTGTTCTCTCCTATTTGTCGTCGTTGGGGTAGTAGAATTTTCCAGATGTCCGGGTGGGTGGACAGGTGTTGAATCATTCCTATTACACGTATTTGCAGTTGACCCCAAAAGTATGGTGGCGATATGCAGATGACACATTCACTGTACTTAGAACACAGGATATAGATAGATTTTTCGAAGACATTAACTCAAAGGTGGAGGCAATTCAATTCACTTATGAATTAGGAAGGGGAGCTTCCAATGTTAGATTGTAGCGTAAAAAGGAAAGAAGATGGGAAGTTAAAACACACTAGTGTTTACAGGAAACCCACACATTCAAACAGATATTTGAACTTCCGATCATCCCATCCTATGTCAGTGAAAATAGGATTGGTGAGATGTTTAAGTGATAATAGGGCACAAAAACTAAGTAGTACCAAGGAAAATCTAAGACAGGAAGTGAGGCATATAAGAGAAGCTTTGAAACTTAATAATTACCCTGATAAATTAGTCAGGAAGTATGTAGGGAAATGTAAAAATAAAATAAATAATGATAGTAGTGATAGTGGTAATAATAATATATAATAATAATAATATTAATGACGACATGCATGTCAAACATGCGCAAGACAACACCAACAATAAGGAATCTAAATCATCAGTAGTACTTCCATACAAGGAAGGAACCTCGGAAATCTTAGCGGAGAATTCTTAACAAGGCAGGAATAAAAGTGGCATTCAAACCCACAAACTCAATTAGAAACAAGCTTTGTCGGTTAAAGGATCCTGTGGAGCCTTTAAAACAAAACAATTTAGTTTATCTAATACCCTGCAGTGATTGTCAGGTCAAATACATAGGTCAAAGTAGTAGAACAGGGGCAGTCAGACTAGCGGAGCATAAAAACCTAGCAGGAAAATCTAGATTAGTTGACCCGAATAAGATAAGAAATCTAGAGGTTAGTTCAGCTATAGCACTACACTACATGCAATTACACACAACCATACAATAGGATGATGGGATAAGATGACAGTTTTCAAATCTAATGTCACAGGGTGGAGGGAGAGATTGATAACGGAAGCTTTGTTTATCGAATCAACTGAGGAGAATAGGTGTAGTAGGAATGATTCAACACCTGTCCACCCACCCGGACATCTGGAAAATTCTACTACCCCTACGACGACAAATAGGAGAGAAGAAAGGAAACTATAAAACTCAAGTTTCGAAGTCGTGTGATTATAATTGATGGAATGATTATGAACGGTAATAAATTTTGTTCGAAACCTTGTCATCCAGTAAATAATAATACTGTTTCACTGACTGTGTGATACATCTAATAAACAAACTAATATGGAATTACTTACTACCACAGTGCCCAAGTTTTAAACCTATATCCATCCCGTGGAGTAACTCAAGCAATACGTGTCATACTGTTGGATGTATGAGGGGTAGATAGGTGATATGAAGAAACAGACTGTACTGTTCTGCCACATTCACCTCAATATGTTTGTCGCCCATCATGTAATCACTCCTCTCAACAGGTGAGAATGTAAGTCATATATGTTAGGATGAAACTCGCCTCTCTCACTGTTAAGAGAGCTCATTTCAAAGACGTAACTAAGCCAACAATTGATATTTTCTGACTCAAAATTCATATTTTCGCAAACTAGGCTGACGAAACAGTTGGCTGTCCAGTACTCCCTGTGGGGCTGGTTTTCCAATGCTTCTCTAACTGATGATGTGTCAGCTCCTCCATCCAATCAAACAAAATTCCCTACAAAAAAACCAATACTCGAAAATTAATATGGTAGTCGTGATTACTATTGAGGTGTTAAATTAATTATTATTTATATAGATACACAAGGCTGTTTCGTAATTTGGTGTTTTTCAATGGAAAGTTTTACAGCTGCTCACTTTTTGTGAATTTCGTTAGTAATCAATTACTTACTTTACTTTGCTTCGGCTATCTCCTACGGAAGGATGAGCCGGCTTCATGAACATCTCGAATCATCGCTGCCCAGGCGCAGCGATCTGATGAAGAGAGTTTACGAAGTTTCATGGGAATGTGGTACGAGTGATGTCCCCAGAACCGCTTGGCCTTTTGTTTGAGAGTGCAGCTCTAGTCTTTACACAACCAAGTGTGACCTACAAGGCAGTAGGAGTGGAGTAGGGGGTCCACTATCCATTGGCAGCCGGTGACCGGAGTTCGGTTCATACGCCTTTTTGAATGGGGCCAGACATCCAGGACATCCAACAAGCCCTTTGTCCATACGTGTGCCGGTGAGCTCCAGTGAGCTTCATACGCCAGTCGTTGGAGGTTTGGAATCAGGGTTTAGCCATCTCCCCTAGACTGTCATCCAATGGACAGTCAACCCGGTGAAGAGCGCCGGGCATCCGCTTTCGCCCTCTCACTTTGGTGAAAAAACACCGCCACGTGAAGGCAGTGAGTAGGACTTCCTCAGGAGAGGCTATGTAAGACACCCGGTCATATGGGAGCATTTCAAGAGGTGTGCGGAGGGGTGGCCAACCCGCAGCGCAAGGCACCCACCCCCGACCATCCTGAGGCTTTGGAGTAATCAATGGATAAAAGTTATTCAATTAGTTGTGTTCTCTGAGCTTGAGCTATTTGATTTAATTGCGAAGCCTTCGCCGTCTTTGCAGACAACATCCGCCTTCAGCTCAGGCTTAACTGTGTGAAATGAACTCATTTGAATTCTCCATAAACGGTGATGTAATTGTGTCTCCTGGCAACCATTGTCGTGATTCTTTGTTTGTGTTAATTTACATCTCTATTGATCATTTTTATTATCGACTTGGAATTCAAACTTTCTTGTCATGTGATGATTTCCATCACTGACTGATTCACTTGAGTACCAACCAGGCTTCTAGAAATTCTCTGACTGTATCTTTGGTGTTTCCTTTATTGAAAATGTATACATTATCCCAACCAAATTGGTGTCCACAATTATCTACATGCGTCGTTAGGAAAGAATACATGTCATGTCTTTCCACAGCCAAGCCAACTTGTGTTCTTGGAATCGGATTCGAAGGGGACGCCTACTTTGACCGATGTAATGTTTATTTGCAGTTCATGCATACAATTTATTTTGTAAATGGTGGTGCGCTTGTGGAGCGAGTTATATCGGCCGTTGCTCTAGGAACTTGATTTTTCGTGCTCGCTCGAGAACATCTCCCAGTATGACTAAGTAAAGGTGTAGTAAAAACCATCAACAGTTCGATATTAGACCACCTGGTCCAAACCGGCCACAAAGCCAGCATTGAAAAATCCTTCTCTATCATCTACCGGGTACCAAATAAATTGCCAAAAACATCGAGGTACCGCATGCTCCGAACAGCAGAGGCCGCTATCGCGATCCGCCTGAAACGACCGATGCTCTGTGTGCACAAAATGCAAGTCCCACCAGCTAGCCACTACTACTGCCCTGACCGGCCTTCAATGGAGACTATAAATTCATGAATTTGAATATTATCTTTCCTAATTTCTCTGATATTCAGTGTAGTGCAGTGTTATGTTGATGCTATCGAGCTGTAGTCCATTGATAATATTATTATTGATTCGATGTTATTTAAACAACATAAATGCTGTTAATAACACTAATTCTTTCATTATTATGTATGCATATAACTATAGAACCTGATGATGAAGTTATCGAAAGGAGTATTCTTTGTTCAGTAATCATTCTTTTGTAAATGGTATTAATTTTATCTTTTTCTGTTGGATCTTTCGACCTGCACAATGTCGAATGAAGTGATTGTGCTGGCTGGCTTTTGTGCTGTATCTATTTCAAACGGTCTTAATATATTCTGTCCTTTGTAATTCAAGCTGTCTGACTAGTGGCTTATTGTGAGTGAACCTCTGTACTCATCCATCTGAGTGTGATTTCTGCCTGCCCGACGTCCGGAGGGATACACCATCCTAGACGTCGTAACCTGCGGAGCATTGGAGCAGAAGCTCAAAGCTCAGCATCTGACTGATTCTCTTTTGTAGATTTTGGGACGTCAGCCAATAAATTGTAGCCGACTGTCCCGTGCTCAAATATTATGCCTCTGAAATGTCTTGATTGCCATTCCACCCAGTCATTTTAGTGTAATGAACTGGTCATCATGTACATATGATGGAGGCCCTTTTTATGACTTCTTCCAGCGACACAGTCTGTACCTGCCTATTTTTCGTATACCTTAAATCAAAACTACAATTTGACAATGTTACATAAAATGGACTCAGGACATGGTTTATTAGTGATTTTACTATGTGGATGTCAAAATTTTGTTGACTTTTTCATGCATTACTATATTTTCAAGTGATGTATCGCTAGTTTTTTTGTTGTTTTGTAGGATTCAGTAGACTACTTATAAGCGCAATGGTTCTCAGTAGTATATAGATTCATACGAAAAATTTGGTTTTACATTTAAAAATACTCGAAATCAGTCAGGTTTAATCAACAATTCAGAAATAATTTATCTAAAGTAGTAAACATCTCTTAGGATAAATGAGATTCTATCCTGTGGGCCTGATTATACCGGAGTTATTTCTAACAGGCTACTGTAGACGTCCATCGACAGCTATCTTTGCTGTCTCCATACTGGAGATTAGATGGCTGGAAGAAAGAATAAGCGATAAGGTATTCTGGCAAAAACTCAACGAAGAACTCATTGCTCAGCATATAAGCTGATGAGGCGTCTGAACGGCATCACCTGTCAGGCAGGGCCTAATATAGAATCTCTTTTGGTAAACGGCGAATTAATGGTCTATCCCAGAGTGACATGGAAGGAGATCTGGTGGTGAGGCGGAGTAAATGAAAGCAAATGGGTAGTCGGGAGGCAGCTAAACACAGGTAGCAGAAAACAGAGTGAAATGGATAATTAACACATCTGTGAAGCCTTATCTTCCACTCGGAACCGGTGGTTAGGACGCTCGCTGACCATACACATAGTCCGGGTTTCGATCCGTGGCCGACGCACACCTGATATCAAATGGTCGGCCTGCTACATTTGGCCTACCGATATCACATGCTGAAAATTCCATACTTGTACCGAAAATACTGTGTGGAAACAAACTATGATAAAAAATTTAAAAAAATTAAAATAGCTGTTATTTCATAAATATTTTTTTATACATGGTAGGATGAATTTTCTTGTGGTCTTTGATGTTGGCTTGTTATTGTTGGTGTTATGACTCGAGTTTAAAAACTTTTTGATGAAATTGTGAAGGGGATATCCATTCTTTTTGAAGACGGCTAGTAGGCATTTTTTTCTCTCCTCATGTCATTTTTCCGAATAGAACTTTGACCTTTGCTTTCTGTCACTTGACCTTCATAAAGTAGGAAGAGTAAATGGTTTACATTGGTCTGTGTTCCGCAAGAGTGTTACTTAGTCGACAGTTCTGACTATATTCTTCTAAAAAAGACGTCAATATCATAAATGAGTGCGTATTGTGGTGAATAACTTTTGCTAAGGTTCTAATAGAGATGGGGATGCAAATGCTCGTGTACTGTGTGCGCAGTTGCAACGTGTGTAGCACAAGCTACTCAGCTTTTTTAGATTCCAAGAGTAACTGTTTCTTCACCAGCTAAAGAATGTTCTGGGATAAATCTTGTCGAGGTACATCTAGCGACAAAAATACTTAACACAATAATACAGGAAATTACAAAGTTATTAGTTATTTTTTTTTATTAAAACACAAAGATTTGTGCATTCTGAGCAGCGAGAGATACGCCACACGAAATCTTATAGTTTGTGCGAGAGCTTGCATACTGCCCGGCTGCCCAAAAACCGAGTCAGGTGTGTTTGTCTTAAAGCACCACCCTCCTACAATTCTTTTAATCCACATAGCAGTGGAGTAGCGTCAGGTTTCCCATGGTTACTGGTGATCAAAACAGGTTCATCATATACTATTCGATCCTTTCGGATTCTGGAGCTGTTGTACACACCATAGGTTTGGAATTGGGATTTTCCACCTCCCATGGGTATTTAAACATGCATGTTCACCAGTCTGGTTGTAAGCGCCGGACTTTCTCATTCACTCTTTCATTGTTGTAAGGCACAGCCTTGCTGCATGAAAACACTATTCCTTACCTTTTAGTGTTTGAGGTTAGTGTTACATTTCAACAATTCACCTAGATTGAGATATAGAGTAACGGTGTATTGTGAATTTCTACTTTCAGTACTGCAACATTGGTTCGTCATTTTTTCACGAAATCTTCTAAACATAGTTTGATCATGTCTGTTAACTAAATCATTAAAGTTGTGTTAAAATAAATCGTCTTCATCATTCAGATACATGTTTTAGATAAATGACTTGCCCTCCCTCTCTTTCTCATTCCTTCGCGTTCCGAGTGAAATATAGGGCATCAACAACACATCTTCACTTTGTTCTATTTTTTGCCATCCTCTTCATCTGGGTTCACGATTGCCCATAAGCTCTTATCTCTTCCTTACACGGTCTCCTCCATGTAACCCTCGCGCCGACGACCCACTCGTCGCTTCCCATTGGGATTCCACTCGAGGAATGGCCTGGTGCGTGACGTCATTCGACGGTTTCCTCAATGTATGCCCGATCCATCTCCATTTTCTCCTGCATATTTGTTGAGCTGGTTGGTTTGTTTCACTGCAGAGTTTCTTGTTACTAATTCTTTCTGACCGGCCACTTGATCTTCACTATGGAGCCGGTGAAGTGGGCAGCAGTTGATGAAAGTCTGCACTAGCCTGTTGGAAATCCTTTTCGTGACTGACTCACGTGCAGTGCAAGTTTCTCACCCGTATACAAGAACTGACTAACTTCACGTTTGTGTTAAGTATAATCCGAATCTTGTTCCTTATGCTGACTGAGTGAAGCAGAAGATTTGCAAACTGGTTTTCAGGTTGATGAAGGCGTTGCGATCTTACCTTTCCAATTCTGGCTGGCCAGCTTTGACATCTTCATCCGTTTCGACTGCCTGTAGTTGAAACGATGCTTCCTGGCCAGATAAGTAAAGAAAGTAACCTGTGTTAAATCTCCCCGTTGATGGTGATTGGTGCTGGTTGTTGTTGTTGCTGCTGTTGGTGGTGGTTGGTTATCTTCATCACCTCCGTCTCCACCTTCTCTATGTTCACCTGGAGTCAGTCCTGTCTTCGCTGCCTGCCTCTTCAGCCAGTTTGTTGGTTTTCGCCTGCCTACCTGTAAGTCTTCGAGTCTCTGTGACATTAGACATCCACAAGCGAAATGCAGGTCTTCTAGAGTCTTCTTATCGGTGGTCCAGCGTATTCCTGACTCGTCGCTCCCCACAGTCAGTCCACCACAATTAAGAATATCATCGTGGGTGATAATAGGCAGCCTTATCAAATATATTAAGAATTCTTATTTTTTTTAGGTGTGTTGTACTGTGTGTCTCAATAATGAGTACCCAGAAAGAAATGAAAATCACATAAATTTGCAGCTGCTGAAAAAATGTAACTCGCGAAACGCATTTACTCTCCAGAGATATTCTCTTCATTTACCTGTCATCAGACATTTAATGATAATATTATTAACTAACTGAATGATTGCTAACAATTAATTTCTTTTTCTATTCTTTTTCTTTTCTGTCCACAGTGAAGCTTATTTCTGGTTATGGCAAAATACTAAACCAGATGCTCGTGTTATGTCCTGGTGGGATTATGGTTATCAAATTGCTGGAATGGCGAATCGAACAACTCTCGTTGATAATAATACATGGAATAATAGTCATATTGCTTTAGTAGGTAAAGCTATGGCATCAAATGAATCAGAAGCCTATAAGGTAGGCTTTTTGCATTTCTAGTGGAGTATATGGACCTTTAAGTTTTGAATTTTCAGTAGTAAGAATTTTTGAATGTTTGGCATACGATTCGCTCCCGTTAAATGTAAGACGATGCTACAGGACTGGACTACATCGACCCACTTCTAACCTAAAGATATGCAGGAGTGAAGTGGTTGGTGGAGTGTGTTGACCATATTACTTATTTGGGAAGTAGCATCAACCAGCGCCAACGGGTTGATGGCTGACGAAATCTGAGCACGGATACAGAAGACTCGTTTGGCATATACCTCCCAATTCACGCCATCTCTGGATTAGTAGACATGATATCTTGGCTGTCGACCAAAGGACGTGTGTACTGCTCAGAGGTAGTTCGCTCTGTCCTCCTTTATGGCTGTTAGATATAGTCCCCATTGAAAGTGAAAGACATGAAAAAGGGTAGCTGTCTTTGATCATTGGTGTCTATGTTCTATCTCTCGTGGTTTAGATGGTATAATGGGGTGAGTAATATTGAGGTGAGGCATCGGTCGAGTGCTAGGTAAGTTGGGAGGGGAAATCAATCGACGAGGTTGTGAATCTGGCTGCATTGATTGAGAGAGATGGTAATGAGGACATGTGCTACGCATTACTAGCCTAACCCCAGCGATCGCCTTCCTCGACAGAAGGCAAGACACGGGAGCCAAGGTATATTTTCCATTAATTAAACCGCTGTTTATATATATCTACAGTTTATATTCGTTAACCAATCACTGAGCGTGTGATTTTGGTTTGCATCAAACGACAAGAAGTAGAAGGTTCAAGTATGCATAGTATTCTGTTGCCAATGCAGTATTGAACTGAGGGATAACATTCCGACTCTAACACTGATTAGAATTTCAAATAGATATATCGTATCCTGTTGTTAATGCCGAATCGCACTAGAACATGTGAGAATAAATTCGCTGGACACATTGTCTGTATCACACACCACAGTCTGATTAACATAATATGATCAGGTTGGAAAAGAGTTGGCTATTGGTGGTTAAATCAAAATATGGCTTCATCAGTCAGTCAATGAAATAAGTCCATAGCAGTTAGTTTAAGACAGCCGGCCAGCTACACGTAAGGAGATGTAGGCTGCCTGACTGACTGGTTGCGATCCTCGAGATTATAAGGACCAATGAAGGCTGGAGACAGTTCGTGATATAACACACTTGAGTCTCTTCCAACAGTCATTGTAGTTTCTTATTCTATCATGCGTTTATTGGCTAGGCAATTTTAGTGCGAATATGTTTTTAACTAAAGACTGGACACCTTGATAATGAGGGTATTGTTTTCCCTAATCATATACCTTGCTGTACCATCACTCCTTTGCGTTCAGAATGGAACATTGGTATTCATGCGTGATCTTTAAAGTATCAATAGCGGTGGAGAGTTTCTGTACGGAGTTGGTTGGTTAGCCTCACACACAGACGTGCATCTTTACCGGGCAGGTGAGGTTTAGGAATGCGTCGGCCGGGAGTCGAACCTGGACTACGTGCGTGACTGGAAAGCATTCTACCATTGAACCACTGACGCATTACTCTACAGTTTCCTGAAAATAACATTACCGGGATATGCATACACTCTTTCTGAATGACTTTTATTGCCATTCGGAAGTTAACGTCAGTGTCAATAAGTATGGTGTGTACTTTGCGCCATCTAAGTGCAAGGTGCTGTTACAAGATTAGCAGGAGCTGTACCCGCACTCACTCTTGGAGGGGTATGGCTTCAGTTTATCGATAAGTTCGTGTATTTCAGTAGTTGTATGAGTGCTGGTGGAGGTATGATGGACGAGATTTCCAACTGTATCATGTAAGCTATGGTGGTATACGTCAACTTGAGCCAACTCTTGTCTTGCGTCGTCGCAACGTTAGTCTGAATGTCAAAGGTTAGGTTTGCAATGTTTCGATGCGCGCTGTCTCGCTCTACACCTGTGAAACTTGGACTCTCCGAGCTGAGGATGTGCGCCGACTGTGTATTCGATTATGGCTGTCTCCGTAGAATTGCTTGCGTTCAATGATATCATCGTGTGAGTAATTCTGAGGTCCGGCGGCGTGTGTTTGAACACAATGGAGATCACTATTCATTGAATGTCGTCATCTGGAAACACCAACTCCTGTGTCTTGGACATGTGCTACAAATATCCTCCCAGAGACTTCTGTACAGGTCTCTGCTCGCTAGCCAGTCCTGGGACGGGATGGACAAAGCGGAGAGGTGATCAGCCCATGACGGGATGTTGTGAGATGAAGGATATTTGTGTTAGGTTGGCATCGGTTGGCGCGTCATGTCTCGCTGGTTGGAGTCCGAGAGATAGCTCAAATCGGTGGTGACTCGAAACCTCATCGTATATGGCCAAAAATCACAATCAATGGTGAACGTGCTGCAATTTCCTTCTTTTTTCCCTTTCTGACAATAATTCGACGAATGCTGTTTGGTGCTGTCAAATATAACTGCCTTCTTTCCAGATAAAATCCCTTATTCATTCCTTACCTTGTTTTTTTCTCATATGTTGTTTTATTATTATTGTGTGGCGCATCTTTTTGCGGTGCTATAGTGTACCAGGTTTTGTGTTTGGATCGGGTCCCAGTGGCTTAATGGTCTATGAGCTAGCTCGCCTTGTAACTAGAAGGTTCTGGGTTCGAACCCCGGCGGTGGGTGCGTACTGTTGAAGAGTCAGTCCCAAACTAGGCTGACGAAGCAGCTGTCCAGTACCCCCAGCTTGTTTTCCAATGGTTCTCTAACTGATATCAGCTCATGATGATGTCCTCCACCCAATCAAACTAAATCCCTACAAAAAAAACCAGTACTTGAAAATAAAAGTCAATTTAAGTCCCTTGGAAAGCTCTTTTTTGATGTTTTACACTGTTTCATTAAATATTTACCAAATTTTTAGCGCTGTCTTCATCCTGTAGGTGTTTTATATCTTGCCCTTTCCATTGTTTTTAGACAATTCAAAGTTTAGATGTTGACTATGTACTAGTTATATTTGGCGGTTATATTGGTTATAGTGGTGACGATATCAATAAATTCTTATGGATGGTACGTATTGGTGGTGGTGAACATCCAAATGAAATTCGTGAACAAGATTTCCTTACTTCAAATGTGAGTTGTTTGTTAGTTTCTATTATTATTATTATTATTATTCCGAATTGCCACTTTCTTCTTCGCCTTCTGTTAGGTTGTGGCTCGTTGGTCTACACTGTAAACTTCGAGCCAGTGGGTTACGGATTCGAACCCGTCTTTCCATACAATGTTGAGCTGCTACTTTGATGTGGGGGGGGTTGGTGTGCATATCGCTGGAACTAATGTCCCTGTATGTCCTATCATACCAGAAAGGTCGTTTGGATAGCGGTTAGAGTAAATGCAGTTACCGTCGTAGTGTTATTTTTCTTCATGTTGGGAGTATGTGGGCGAAGTCGTACTGCTGGGGAATAGGGATGCAGCGGCAGTAAGGTGCTTCCCTCAAATAACCGGCATTCTAGCTGCTCTACCACCGCTTTGGAGAGGAGGTGTCAAAAAAAGTCGACCTCGAAAAGCATACGTTCTGACTCACATCGCAGCAGTCCCCATAGTCGGGCGTAACTTTAAAAATCACTTCAATCTGTGACTGGCCCCAAGCAGTCGTCCTCTGGGCTCTACAGTGACGCGATAGTAATTCATCTTTTGTCTCAGGCACTCTAAGAAGAAATCAACATCCACGGTGTGAGCAGCCAAGAAGTAACAACCCGCCCACTCTTAATTTCATATAAGCACACAGAGCTTTCCAGGTTATCAGCGTGCTCCACTTACTGAGGTTTGGCCAGCCAAATTGTATCACTGGTCCTCACATACAATAGGTGTGGTTCATTGCCAACTACATGGAATTACATTTGGTAACTAATTAGTCAGTTTGCTGCTTCTCTACCGACACACACACACACGCACAGATAAACAACCCAAACTACTAATTGTCAGTCGATGAATTCGTAGCTTTTTGTATTATGTATTATTCTTGACTTCTATGCACTGATTTTAGTCTATAACAGATATATTACATGTTGTAACTAGTTTTGACTTGTTATATAACAAATTGGCATACAAATACGTGTGAATCAAATGTACGCTTATATATGTATATATACGTCTGTATGCTAGAGTCTTCTGGCGTAGATTTTCCAAATTTATTCACATTGGGTAGTCGTATGTTCAAGCAAAACAGGTACATGATAACAGTCCGTGTCAGGTGATCCACAACGGAAAACTCAGCGAAGCCTGGCTTTGAAGTGAATACAGGAGTAGGACAAGGCTGTCTATTGTCACCGCTGATATTCTTAATTGTGGTAGACTGGATTATGCTTCAAACTGTGTGTGCACAGGGGGTGAGTGAGAAGACAGGAATACACTGCACTGACTGACAAGAAGACCCTAGAAGATATGGATTTCGCTTGTGGGATGATTCATGTTTAATGTCACACACACACAGGCGGGTGAAAACCAACAAACTGGCTGAAGGGGCAGGCAGCGAAGATAGGACTGACTCTAGGCGAACATGGAGGTGGTGGAGACAGAGGTAGGTGATGAAGATAACCAACCAACCAACAGCAACAACAACCAGCACCAATCACCATCAACGGGAGAGAGAGATTTGACAGAGGTCACTTTCTGCCTTCCCTTATCTGGCTAGGGAGCCAGCACGGTTTCAACCACAGGCGGATGGCCAGCCAGAATCCGAAAGGCAAGACACGCCCTTATCAACCTGAAGGCAGTTTGAAAATCTCCTGCTTCACTCACTCACTCAGCCAGCCAGCCAGCCAGCGTGAAGAACAAGATAGATTCGGATTCTATTCAACACAAATGTCAAGTCAATCAGTCAGTTCTTGTATACGGGTGAGAAACTTGCACTGTGTGTGTGAGTCCCGAAAAGCATTTGCAACAGACAGTTACAGACTTTTATCAACAGCTGCCAGCTTCACCGACTCCATACTGAAGGTCAAATTGTCGACCGGCAAGCTGACTGGCCAGAAAGAATTAGTAACAAGAAACTGCAGTGGATGGAACCAACGAAGAGCCGATTGTGCAACAAATATGTAGGAGAAAATGGAGATGAACTGATTGGACATACGCCACTGAGGAGACCGTCGGTCGAATGACATCACGCTCAATGCATGCCATTGCTCAAGTGGAAGTTTAATGAGAAGCGACGACTGGGTGGGTCAGTGCGAGGGTGATATGGGTGAGATTATGTGGTGATGATGAGGAAGAGATGCGAGATTATGGGCAATAATCGTGTGCCCGGTCAGCTGCAGAGGACAGCAGAGAATAGAAGAAAGTGTAGATGTGTTGTTGAAGCCCTATGTTCCACTGAGAACCCAAGGGAATAATAATAATGTTCAAACAAACAAAAGAAACAAAACAGACAGAAATAAGTGGAGTCGTAATTAACACTTGACTGTTTAAGCGTCCAAGTCACTAAACCTTTCACCAATACATTAAAGTAGAGCCAAGGAAAAGAGAACTAAAGGAAAATAAAGATGGTATAAGAAGTCAGAACGATACATGTGTAAAATATAAAGTATAGTGAATTACTTGAGGATGTAATATTACTGCACCTGCACCCCCCAAACCTTATGATGCTACATGCCAAATGATTCACATTGGAAAGCTCATTTAAGCGTTTGACGAGAAGACAAGAGTAGGATAAGGCTGCCTACGATCATCGATGATATTCCTAATCATGGTGGGGAACTGGGTCGTGTAATAGACTTTGGGGGGCGAGAAAACGGTCATACATTGGTCCGCCAGAAGGAATTTAGGAGATCTAGACTTCACGGATGTTTAGAGTTATATAAACTGGGAGATCTACAGGCGAAAACCAACAATCTGGCAGAAGAGTCAGCGAAGACAAGACTTCAAGTCTGGGGATGGAGAAGACACAGAGGGTGAAATTGCCTAACCAACAACAATGGGTACCAATCACCATCAACAGGGCGAATCTAAGTGTAGTCACTTCTGTCACTTATTTTGGGTCAGCATCGTTTCAACTAGAGGTGGCACGGATTGGGATGTCAAAGACAGGATCGGAAAAGCCAGATGGACCTTCATTTCTGTGTTCCAGCTCATCTGAGCCACCGGCAGTAAGAAATAAGGTGTTTGCGAGGCAGATGGCACACCAATTACCAGTCTGAAAAGACACCTGGAAAGCTGTGCAGAGCACTTTGAGAAGCAGTTTAACTGGCCACCAGCACCAACTTCCATCGTCATCAGCTACAGTGCTCCTTGGTCGGTCAATACCAGCCCACCAATCGAAGTGGAGGTCCAAAAGGAACTCCAATCGTTGAAGCGCCATAAGGCACCCAGCCCAGACAATTTACCCCCGACTCTTTTTAAAGATGGTGGCAAGATTCTCGTCATGGCTTTAACTGGTTTGTTCAGGAAAGTGTGGAATGAAGCCATTATCGTCCCAGTCTTTAAAAAGGGTTGACGTAACACATGCGACAACCATAGGGGTATCAGTTTGCTACCAATTGCGTCTGAAATTTTGGCAGCTGTCTTGCTTCGCAGGCTCTATCAAACACATGAGGAGTTGATTCGCGAGGAGCAGGCTGGGTTTCGTTCTGGCCGTGGGGTGGGTGCATTGATCATGTATATTCACCCTTCATCAGTTGTTGGAACACCGCCACACACATATTGCAGGCCAACAATCGTTGTGTTTCTTGATATTACAGCTGCCTTCGATTCGTTGGATAGAATTGTTCTCTGGAACTGTCTGTTAGAGAGGACTGTACCTGAGAAGTTTGTCAACATCCTGAAAGCCCTATACAAAAGCACCTCAGGTGGAGTGAGGGCTTACAACCAACTATCATCACTGTTCCCAACCAACAGTGGGGTTGCCCAGTCTCATCATTTCTCTTTAACTTTGCTATCGGTGACATTCTGGAGTCAGCTATGAAGGATACCCGATCACCTCCAGTGTCCTCTTTCAAGGAATTGTCTCTTCTGCGCTTCTAATAACTAACTTGCATATTTCAATCTTATTGATCCTCGTATTCATTTTTGTAAACGGCTATTTCGAAATGCATTGACAGCAGGTTAAATGTGATTTTTGCATGGTAGTTGAAATGATTTCACTCAAACACTCTGAAGACGATTGAGAAGTAGGATTTTATTTACTGGATAGGTTTTTAATTTAAGATTTCTCCAATCTTTTCAAAAGAATGGATACTGAACAAAGAATACTCTTTTCGATAACTTCATCATCAGGCTCTACAGTTATATATACATTATAGTGAATGATGAATGAATTAGTGTTATGAACAACATTAATGTTGTTTAAATAACATCGAATCAATAATATTGATAGATTACAGCTCAATAGCATCAACATAAAATAAGCTGAATGTCAGAAAAATTAGGAAAGATAATATTACAAATTCATGAATTTATAGTCTCTACTGAAGGCCGGCCAGGGCAGTAGTAGTGGCTAGCTGGACTTGCTTCTTTTGAACACAGAGCACTGGTTGTTTGAGGCGAATTGCAATAGCCTCTACTGTTTGGAGCATGTGGTGCTTCGATGATTTTGGCAATTTATTAGGCACCCGGTAGATGACAGAGAAGGATTCTTCAATACTGGCTGGCTTTGTGGCCGGTTTGCACCAGATGGTCCAATATCGAACTGTTAATTGTTTTAACTACACCTTTACTTAGCCATAGTGGGATATGTTCCCGAGTGATCACGAAAAATCAAGTTCCTAGAGCAACGGCCAATATAACTCGCTCCACCACAAGCGCATTTGAATTGGTAGATACAATTTGAAGTGGCTAGCTAGTCTAGGTACTTCATCTTTCAGTCGAGGTAGCACCATCGGTCGTGTAGAGAATAAGACGTGTAGTTCGCCGCCAGCATTAAAAGTTCTTTGAACTGATTTTCTTAATTTCCTCGTAATTATCTCACTTGATATATCGCCCTTGAATTTCTCTAATCCTCATTATCTTATTATGCCTTCTTCCTTATTTTCAGGGGGATTATCGTGTTGACAGAGAAGCTTCTCAAACAATGCTCAATTGTTTAATGTATAAATTAAGCTATTATCGTTTCGGTGAAGTTCGCTTAGATATGCATACACCAAGTGGTTATGATAGAACAAGAGGTGTAGAAATTGGTCGTAAAAATTTCGACTTAGATTTTCTCGAAGAAGCTTTTACATCAAAACATTGGCTTGTAAGGATATATCGTGTTCTACCGCCTGAGAATTTACCACATCTGTCGAATACACGTCGACGGATACGTTATCGTCCTTCAGGGAAAAGTGGTTCAACTACTCGTGGTCGATTAAATAATAATGTTGTTACGTCGTCTAGCAGTAATAAACGTTCCTCTAAAACTTCTAGATAAGGCGAGTGTTTCCTGGTAAGTTCTATATGATTATTTATTATTATAATTTTTTAAAAATTTTATTCCTTTACGTTCCCAGCGGTGGAACATAGGGCTTCAAGCTAGAGGCTTGAAGTTTTGGTAGCAGTGGTGTTTATTTTTACTGCCCGGCCTATAACTGCTACCTTGCCGTGGTGGTCGGGCTTGAATGCCGCAGTGACCCAACAAGCTAAACTGGCTGGGACTCATGTCCCTGCAGGTCCTACCATGCCAGGAAGGTTGTTTGGATAGCGGTTAGACTAAAAGCAGTTACCATGGGGTACATGGGCTCCAGAATCCAATCGGACCAAATGGCGCACGAACCCATATGGGTCACCGGCAACCATGGGAACGCAGCACCTGACGCTGCTCCGCTGCCTTGCGGATTAGACTCCAAGTCAAAGGCTCGGGGGGTGGTCCCTTAAGAAAACCACCTGCTTCGGTCTGGGCGCCCGGGCAGTATCTCAGCCCTCACACAATAAATGAAATTTGTGTGGCGCATCCTTCTTGGTGCCATATTGTACCAAGTTTTTCTGCGTTCAAATAAATAAATTATTTTTACTGGATAGGAGGTTGCAAGCCACCTCGTGCCCAACCTTCCCTCTTTATCAGTCTTATTACTGGCTCAGCGAGGTAAAAGAGGAGTGCGTCCGTAGGCCTGGGGATCAAACTCCGAATCACATGAGGTGTGGTTGGCGAACATTCTACCGTTGTACCTCCGACGCACACGTTTTATATGGTGTTTGCACTGATCTACTCACTCATGTTACCCTTTTTCTGTTGTTGCTCTTAGTTATTCGAGGTTTAGACTACTTTTACTACTGCTACCAAGTGTTTGGAGGCGGGCTCACTCTCTAGCTTTTAATAATAATAATAATAACAGCTTTATTCCCAACAGTATTTGTGGTACAGGTATTTTCAGCGTGCATTACAATATTGCTCATAAATATAATAAGATTTAAAAAAATAAAAAGGCGGCAACAACAAAAAGAAAGAAAGATAAATAAAAGAAATAAAAAAGAACAGCATTGCATTCACATTTTAAACAATGCACCACAGGAATATGAAATATAAAATTAGTGTGTAATAGAAGATGTGAACAACAATACAATAGTGTCATACCTAACGGATTTCTCATCACATAGCAGCTCTGCCAGATACGGTATTGTGGAGTTTTTTACTTGGTAGTCTTTGCATATAGCCTCCTATAGCTGCTTCTAGTTCTACCAGATGAAATGCAAGGAGAGAGCTGCGTATAGAGAGGGTGTTCGGGGTCTGACAATATAGAATTCGCTAGTTTCTTACATGACATTATGTGTCTATCCACAATGGTGTTAACCAGTTGGTTTAACGATATCCCACTTGCCCTAATAACAGCTTTTAGTGCCCTTCTCAGCAAAGCATAGTCTTTCTTAAGTAGTCCAGGAAAGATTAATGGGAAGCAGTAAGGAGGGACGGGTAGAATACAAGAATTGACAAACTGAGAAAGCAAAGACTGCTTTATACCAGACTGCCTTAAATCTCATAACGTAGAACGTTAAGCGAAACATCTTTCTAGTGACTAGCAAGATGTGAGAGGATCAGGAAAGATCGGAGGAAATACTCAGTCCAAGGTACTTGACATTAGATGTAGTTTCAACCTCTATGCCGTCAATGATAGTGGGACCATGTGAGCTAGCTAGTTGTTGTAGGTCACGTTTTCGTCTGAAAGTGAAATTGACTCCCTGACATTTAGACGGATTCAGCTTAAGACCGTTTGAAGAGGACCACTGACTAATTTCCGAGAGAAAGTTATTTAATTTGGAACAGTCTGACTGAGAGTTGACAGACATGGAAACGGAGAGGTCATCAGCATACTTGACAAAAGTGACTACATCAGAATGGGGTAAGTCATGTAAGAAAAAAGAAAACAGAAAAGGAGAAAGAACAGCACCTTGAGGAACACCAGCTAAAGTAAGTGAGGTAGTGGAGGACTTTCCATTGTAGACAGTGTACTGCTTCCTATCAGAAAAGTAGGAATACAACCACTTATTTATCCAGCTCTCACTCTGTGTTGCAGCAAGCTTACTTAACAAGAGAGACCTAGGAACAGAGTCAAATGCAGATGTGTAATCAAGGAAGGCACACCGAACATATTTGGCTCCTCTATCTAAACTAGAGAATATATTATGATATAGAACAACAGTGGCATCTAAGGTACACCTACTATGTTTATAGGCGAACTGGTTGGGGTCATTAAAAGGGTTCAAGATTAAGTAAAATAAGTCTTTCCATAACTTTTAAAAAAGGTGAGGTAATAGCAATCGGTCGAAACTTAACAGTAGGTCCACTTGTTGATTTAGGCACTGGAACAACCTTGATATTTTTCCATGAGTCAGGAATAATACTTTTGGAAAAAGATTCATTGAAAATGTTGGTTTATGGGTAACATAAGATGTCAGCACACTTCTTAAGGATAACAGCAGGAACTCCATCAGGACCAAGGGACTGGGTAGGTTTGAGAGATTGAAGACACTTGAGGACATCATTTGTTTAAGTTATATACGCAGTTAATCAGCCAGCGATTAACAAACATGTTAATATAGACCAAATCTCTACCAACCAATAAAAAGTAAATCATGCCACCAGACAGTTTAAAATCCAAATCAATAAAAAACGATCAATACATATGTAAAGATGGTTACCGGGAGACGCAATTCTATCACTCACTCATGGAAAGAAATTTAAATCATTTCACTTTATGCTAAAAATTGCACTGAAGCGGGGGGGGTGTTGTCCAGAAGGGATGGACGACTAAACCAACCAACCAAGCAGCTCAGAGAACACTACTACTAATTGAAAAACTGGACAGTGTTCCAGTAGAATTGTCAGTCATTAACAATATTGATTTATTTATTTATTTACAATGATTTAATTATATCTATTTATTTATTTATTTTGTTTTATTTCCCTCCCCGCCCCCTCCAACCGCTTTGTCTCTATAGGATGTGAACGACTAGTCTTTGCAATAATCCAAGCAAACTGTTTTGCTATGTGCGTCACTTTTTTTGTTTGTTTGTATGTTTATTTGTTCAACCATATTCTCTTATGTATTATTGTCTTTTTTTATCATCTTTTGGTTCACATTTTGTTCATTCATTGTTACGTAATAACTAAATGACTGACTGGCTAACCACCAACAAACCAACCGACCAACTAATTCATGTATAAAAATCTAAATAGGTATGCGGGAAAAGCTTTGAAGTGTAGTGTATTGGTTGTATTGGTTGCATCACATAGTGCATGTTGTATTATACATAATGGACATGGCTGTAACGTCGTAGCAGCCTGTGATGCAAAGACAATACGACGAGTACAACTGCCAATAATACTACTACTACTACTAATTACAATAATAATGTGTAGCTGTGATGCCTGTTGTTTGTTCTGTTTGTATTCTTTTATATATATAAATATATGGGAAACACTTGTTTCAACATTGTTGACCTCTTTCCTGGCTCTTCTTCTTTTTCTTCGTTTCGTCGTCGACGTTTCCTTCTTGTTGTTCCTGTTCTGTTCTGTTTTCATAGTTTGTATTCAGTAACCATGCCTTCATATTGTACTATTATCCTCTCTCTCTATACATTGTCATTGGGTTTTCTTTCTGTTTTTTGCTCTCTCTGTTTTTTTGACTTTATTTTCTAATAAAATTTGTTGCTGTCACATAATAATATTTGAGTTTATATTGTTATAAAGAGCATACATGGCTCACTCACTCACTCATTCATTCATTTAAATAAAGCAAGAACAACAGTGGTTTGTGCAGAATAATATGGTACCATCATTTATTTCGTCGGCTTCTCATCAGCTGCTTACAGCCTAAATAAATTGTGAGGTTTACGTACAGAAAAGTTTTAACATACTTGCAAATTTTACATGTTGTCAGTTGACAGAAAGTTCCACAATTAGTGAAAAGTGTTCAGAAAATTGTGCTTATATAGTTTTTACACAGGCAGTTCAAGTCAAAATAAATGTATGCATACAATGGTAAAGGAGTTACGTAATAAAGACGAGAGGTGAGTAAGATGATGAGTAACTAATAAATTTGGTAACGATGTACTGAGTTCAAATCACGTCATAGAAACAAGAGACAAGCAATATTACAGATTATAAAAAAGAGGGGTGAGGTTAAAGACAAAGATTACGTAATCAGAGTAGAGAATAAAGACATGCAGTTACCATGGCAAGGAAAGACTAACAACTGCTTCTTTCTGAACACATAAATCTGGTTTGAAGCGTTTGATAGAAATTGCTTCGGCAAACTTGAGGAGAATGGAGCTCCTTTGTCTATTGATAATTTTAAAGGATTTCTCGATTTCCACCTCATGACCCGTGTCGAGGAGATGCCTGGCGATGGCACTGTTTAAAGCATTTGTTCCCTTTAGACGTAAGCTTTTTGGTACATGTTCAGAAAATCGTAGATATGCCCTTCTTTCTGTCCTTCCAATGTAACTGCTCCCGCAGATACATGTAAATTTGTATATGCAGTTGGAGTTCACATGAGAAGGATATCTATCGATTTTTGATTGCACCAAAGAGCAAGTTGTTCGATAGACGGGAACGAGCTTTGCTGCAGGATAGGCTATAGCTAGTGATGTACTCAGCCTTCTGTTGATCATCGCTGTAATGTTTTCACCTTTATAATCAAGCTCAAAGTAGATTGGCTTTTTTTCCACTGTGATTTGTTTTTCATTTGCGACTTCAGATCTTCCATACTTGTTGATGAACCTTTGAGGGTACCCATTGCTCTTCAATGTCTTTTCAAGAAACTCAAATTCTTCCTCTAATTTCTCTATAGAGCATATTCTTCTCGCTCTATAGTACAGAGTCTTGACTAGACCGCGTTTAAAGCTATTTGGACAAAAGCTATTGAAATGTAAGTATTGTCCTTTCCATGTAGGCTTTCCATAAATTGACTTTTGAAGACTCTGTTCATTCATTCATTGGGTCTAAGCAACTTACTTGAGTTTTAGTCGTGCCTTGTTGGTGGGTCCCATGGTTCAAGTCCTACCTATGTCATCTGCTTCAGTCTTGGGGACAACAGTGTATGTGTGTTTGTTTATGTTAGAAACGTCATCATCAGCCCCTGAAACATGAGCTTGCTTTGATTATATAAAAGAAAAGGTGTTCAGCGAAGAGTTGCTCCTCTTTTCAACGATATCATTCTTAAGCTGTACAATTCCCTTGGATTCCAAGTGGAATATAGAGCTCCAAGACCCTACCGATAGCTGCTACGCTACCTTGACGTGGTGGTTGCCGGGCTTGCACATCACGATGACCCAACAAGCTGCACTGGCTGGAATCAATGTTCCTGCAGGTTCTACCATGCCAGGAAGGTTGTTAGGATAGCGAGAATAGACTAAAAGCAGTTACCGGAATTGTGTAAGAATCTTTCTCCACTCCGGAGAGAAGGAGTTAGAAAAGGTCGACCTCAAAAATTGTACATCCCGACTTACCTCACCTACGGTGGTCCGTAACCGGAGGTAAGTTTACTAAAACAGAACCTATCCCAGAAACCAGTTCATACAGGCCGTGTGTGACTAGCCGGCCTCAAGCAGTTGTCCCCTGGGCTCTGCGGTCACGCAACGCTAACCCTCTCTCTCTGTCTCAGGTACTCGAAGAATCAATCAACTTCCATGGTGTGGGCAGCCGGGAAGTAACAACTGCACACCCACACACTTCCAAGAGCACACGAAGCTTTTCTGAGCTCCAAGAACACATCTACACTTCCTTCTATTCTCCACTGTCCTCTTATAATATGGCTGTGCCCAAGATTGCCCATAATCTCTCTCATCACCACAAAATCTACATGTCACACTCTTACTGACGATCCACTCGAGCAATAGCCTGCATTGAGCACGATGTCATTCGACCGATGGCCTTCTCGTGGTGTGTATACCGATCAATCCATCTCCATTTCCTCCTGCATATTTGTTGAGCAATCGGCTCTTGCTTTGTTGTTGGTTTACCTTCATCGCCAGAGTTTCGTGTTGGTAATTCTTTCTGGCCTGCCAGCCGGCCGCCTAGCCATTCGATCTTCAGTGTGGAGACAGCCAGTGAAGTGGGAACTGTTGATAAAAGTCTATAACTGGCTGTTGGAAAGCCTTTTCGTGACTGACTGACGCGCAGTGCAAATTTCTACCCCCCCCCCCCTATAGAAGAAGTGAATAACTAACTGACTGACTGACTAACTAACTTCACATTTGTGTTGAAAATCGGAATCGTTTTCTTTATGTGCTGAGTGCAGAGGATTTCCAATCGCATGGCTGGATTCAACATAGAACTTGGCACCGAAGTGCAGCAGTTCGAGTTGCCACGTTCCAAATAGCACACAAAGGTAGACAAGAAGATGAGTGAAGAGAATCAATAGAGTTTTGACAAGTATAAGAGTGAAACAGAATGAGTAATGGTAGAAAGGAATATGAAAGATTACAGAGACTGAATACATCTGCGTAAGCCACTGACAACGATTTTGAGCCATGTCACCTATTGTCTCCAGCCATTGATTCTTAGAGTCCCGAGGGCGGGCCCCAACCCGGAAGTCTGCATCTCCCTACCTGACTCAGTTTAACTGTCAAGGATTTCATGGATTGATGAGGCCATGTTTTTGTTTGGTCACCACTTACTCTTTTCCAACCTGCACCTATATCAGCTAGTAATGCCCGTCGGGCGGAGGAGGCGATGGTTAGGCATGCGTAGCACGTGACCTAGCCATCTCAATCTATGTAACTTTATAGCCTCTTCGATTGATTTTCCCTCTTTGCCCAACACTCTACGCCTAACGTCAACATTACTTACCTTATTATACCACCTAACGTGAGAAAGAGATCGTAGACATCTATGATCAAAAACAGTCAACCTTTTCATGTCTTCAACTCGTATTGGCCATGTTTCAAAGCCAGCCATAGAGAAGGACGGAGCGAACTGCTGAGCAGTACACACGTCCCTTCCAATCGCATGTATATATATGGTAAATTTGTTCTCTTAGTAAAAAAAAGAAGGAACATTTCCAAAGATGTGTCATTAAAAAAATTGTAAATTGCAGTGTGTGGAAAGTGTTAATCGGGTAGAAACTAAAATAAATTTAAATAAGTCGATTGAAGGACATCATACAACTGAGAGGGTTGAGTTGAGTAGAATTCAACTAAATTTGCATCATCGGCTATAACACACAGTAATTATATATACGTCTCATAGGCCCTGGAACATGGAACCTCACTCCCATGAACTTGGTCTGACTTATATAAAAGAAAAGGTGTTCCTTCAGCGAAGAGTTACGCCTTTTTTTCGGCGATATTATTCTCAAGCTGTACAATCGAAAGTATATATGGTGAATTTTCTTAGCAACAGAAAGGAATATTTCCCAAAGATTGTGTCATTAGAATTGTAAATCTCTTTAGATAACAAATTTCATTAATTCGTTAGAAAGTAAAATAAGATTAAATAAGCAAGTTGAGTGGCATAATCTAATTGATGGGGTTGAGTAGAGCTCAAATAAAATTAAAATTGAACGAAAGTCAAGTTAACAACAGTGATAACAAGGGGTAGAGATTGAATAAGGGGTGGGGTGAGGGAAGAAAATATCATACAATTAAGAAACAAACAAGCAAGAAAAAGACGAAGCAAAACTGCGTATTTGGTGTTAAGATAAATAGATCAGGTCCATTGTAGATTTAATGACTGAACAAACTTCCTCTTTTGTATGCAGAGTTCAGGATGTAACATGTGAATTACCGCCATTACTGGTTCTGCTCTGTTTGAAGAAGTTTGATTCGTACTCATTTAGCGAGATCCCCACGTATTCTGTGGATATCAACTTTGAAGTTGGTTTGTGGATAGGGTTAGCTTGGTGTCCAGATTCGATCGATCAGGTGTTCCAGGATAGAGCTGCTGTGGTGGTGGGGGGCGATCTTTTTTCTCCTTTACAAAACCATCACTGTGGGTATGTAGGTGTTCGATGATACATTTGGATATCAAACTCTAGGTACGGCCGACATGACTGGCTCCACAGGTGAATTGGTAGATGTACATTGATGAGGCAGCCAGCAATGGTAGCTTATCCACATTCACGTTCATGCATATCATTGGTTTCGTAGAGAAAGTTATTCGAAGTTCAGCCGCGAAGGTGTTCTTCAGTGTGTGGGACAGGTGGGCGGCTTCTTAGTATTTCTGCCGATGATGAGTCTCTATTGAATTGTAGATTGGGAGCAGAAAGTGTGGACGGTTTAAGTGGTTTAGGCTTCATCGATTTTGTGATGAAGCGTTCTGAATAGCCATTTCCGAGGAGGATTCTTTCCAGAGTGTTCAGCTCCTCTGCCATAATGTCAGGCTGCAAATTCCGCGGATTTTATGGATCAGGTTTCGTTTTGTATATAGAGGCATCCAATTATAAAAGTCACTGAGTTGTCCGTTCCATTTTGACTTTCTATAGATGGATGTTTATTAGTGTTCCATCTTGTTCACGTCGTGTTAATTGAAAGTTGTTGAACACACGAAACTGGTACATTTTAGGTATCAAGAGATGTGCCACCACACAAAAGTGATAAAGCATCAATATATGAGGGAAATAAGGTTAGAATAAATGAGGGAGGTCATCTAGAAAACAAGTAAGCATACTCATCAAGATCATCCATTACGTTATGTTTCTTTCAAGAAGGGGAAGAAAGGAGATAGCAGCAAGTTCGCTATTGATTGAAACTCTTGGTCTTACTGCTTCAGAGTATTTCTTGGGGTCGTGATG